CCAACCCTAACCCCCAATCCTAACCCCAACCCTAACCCCCAATCCTAACCCCAAACCCTAACCCCAAACAAAATGGTGGTGTTCCGGTGGTGTTCCGGTAGTCAGTGTTTTACTACATGCCAGCTTTATGTCCCGGTCAAACGAGAACAAGAGGACTGGGTAATTTGACTAAACAAGTTCAGAGTTGGTGTCAAGTTCAGAGTTCAGTTGTAACCCTCATCATGCATCAACTCTCATTTACTCTTACTCTCGTTTTATCGATGCTTTATACTAACACCCTGTCGTTCAAGTTTTTTTTCAAAAGGACAGTGTTTCATCGGAGCATGTTTGCTTGTGATGTCATTAGTTCGCGTAACGATAGCAACCCGTTGAGAATAGATTTGTTCAGTATATTTATTAACTTCTTCACCCATGAAGGCGTTTTGATATTGTGTTTATACAAAAAATATTTGTTACATTGTTAATATATTCACAGTTTATAGAATTACAGTAACGCGTTATTTTTTATATTATTGAATATTGTGTGTTTCAGAACAGTGATAGTTATCGGCTTCATTTAACCGAATTGCTTTCGGAAAAATGAAACTCGCATCATTCTTTGGAAACCCTCCTTTCAATAGACCTTTCCCCTTAGAACCAAAATTTTGATCTAGGCAAGTCTAGACAAATATTTCATCACAGCTTGAAAGAGCATCACAAAATTAGTAATATTCCAAAGTTTCGTTGCGAAATGTTGTAAAATGAGGAAAACAGACCCTTGCGAAGTTTGCAATTTTCAGTCATTTTGCATTACAAACGGGAAATTGCAGTCCCAACACCCGAATCGTATGTCAATTTCCCGTTTGTAATACAAAACTAATGACTGAAAAACGGCAAACTTCGCAAGGCTATATTATCCGCATTTTACAAGATTTTGCAACATAACTTTGGAATATTACTAATTTTGTGATGCTCTTTCACGCTGTGATGAAATTTTTGTCTAGATCGAAATTTTAGTTATAAGGGGAAAGGTCCAATGGAGGAGATCTCTGTTCTGACAGATGCGTGCGTACCGACTCAATTTGTCTCCGTAACAATCTTTGCCAGGCCATCATTCATTTTGAATCAGCTGAAAAACTACTCGAAACCTGATGTTATGGACTATAAAATATTCTTAGAGTCTAATGTGTCTATATAGCGTCAAACGATTTTACTGTGGAATATAACGCAAGTTGCATTATGAAACCTTCATGAAATTCCACCCTGAATTGTCCCCATTGCCAGTTACATGATGTAAAAACGTTGTTACAAATCTGTTCATAAGCGATCAACAAGTTGTGTTCGCACAGCTTGTTCCCAGTTGTTGAAACAAGTTTGGAACAAGCTGTTAACAAGCTTAATGGCATTGTCAGACTTGTAGCAAAGTTGTTCTAACAAGTCTGATACAGTCATGATATGACAAGAATGTTGCAAGGTTGATGACACAAGGTTGTAACAATATTGTTATATCATGACTGTATCGGATTTGTTGGAACAACCTTGCAACAAGTCTGATAATATCAACAAGCTTGTTACAAGTTGTTAACAGTTTATTCCAAACCTGTTGACAACTTGGGACAAGCAGTGCGAAGACAACTTGTTGATAAGATGTTGGCAGACTTGCTACAAGATGTGAGACTCTGGCGTGTGTATAACTAATTCGCCATGGCACCTGTTGTTTCCATGGAGCTGACTGCCCTGTATTTACTCCCGTTGCCGTGTTTTGCTTGACCGCATTGAATCGCGGCAAGCCGCCTGCCCCATTTATGAAGCAGTTGGTCTTTGGTGTGCCTCAAACAAAGTTACGTATCAGACAGAGACAGAACGTGCCTGATTTTTAATCCTTTCTACGTTTTCTACTTGGTAAGCTTTTCCACCTTCAAAATGGCTGGTAAAGTGTCGAAAAACATGGCGATAGGCGCCGGGGTAATCGGTTTCATCTTAATCGCTTGTGGATTTGGATGTGCTGTCGCAGGCTTCGTATGGACTGCGTATGGAAAAGGTGCTCACGGAATATGGTCTGGCATTTTCGTAAGTACTTGGTATTTAGTTTTTCCATATTTGAATTGTCGTTCAGAGTTAGTGTTTGTCCTTGTTTTCTAATAGACTGATTAATTTAGCAAAAATGCAAAATCTTTTTTAGTTAAAATTTTTAAAATAATGCATATACGCATACGCAATACGCGCGTGCGCGTGCACACGCACGCTCGGAGCTACGTAAAATCCTTGCATTTTGACCGTTTAAAACTCGGGATTGAAGTAAAATTTACTGGAAAATCGTAGATAAGAACACAGGCTATATTGTTCCAAAGTTTGTGTGTGGATTCTGTATTATTACTAGACGAAAAACGTATCGAAATATCGTGGTTTTGGTGTTTTCAAAGGTTCTTGAAAGAAATTCCGTTGAGATTACGCACGCGTGATCGTCAACGTCGCATTGTTTGGTGACGTTATTTTGATTACCTAACGAACTTTTTATTACGCTATTCGCGCAAGTTCGCGGAGTTTCTGGTCATTTACGCGCGTAATTCATATTACGATAAATTATCGACAAAATGATAGTTCTCAATCGTAAAGTTGATGGCTGTTCATATGTCATATGGCTTCTCACTTTATTCCTAATCCTTTGGCTGGCTAGAAGATCAAAACCTGAACTTGAGCGCTTCAAAGAAAAACCAACATCAAAGAACATTTACATCGCTTCTGAACTTACAACGATACCCGATAAACTTTGTTTACTTTGGACATCAACACGAGACAATATCCTAAGAAAATCCAACTACCCCTGTAAATACCGGTATGGTCTGGAACTTCAGATAAAACATAAGAATTTACATCTACTTCTGTGTATCCTCCTTGCTGGAGATATCGCCACTAATCCAGGCCCTTGTAGAAGAACTATATCGTTCAGTTCCGAATCGCAGCATGAACCAAAGAACCGGAAATCGAAAGAACTCCCCACCACATGTCTTGTCCTGAACGCCCGTAGCTTAAAAAGCCAGCATGTTTTAGACGGGAAAAAGTTTTGTCATCTCTCCCGTTTTCAAGAGCTTGTTTACTCTGAGGCCGCGGATCTTGTCTGGGTAACGGAAACCTGGCTCACAAAAGATGTTACGAACACTGAAATTCTCCATGACGATTACGCTATCTACAGAAAAGATCGGGAAATGCGCACTGGTGGCGGCGTAATGGTGGCAGTTAAATCAAGTTCATTCATTTCCTCACGCGATGTAGACATCGAAACCGATATTGAAGTTGTATCAACAGAACTTGTCACAACCTCAAATCTGAAATACGTCATCTGTTGTTGCTACAGGCCACCCAACGCGGATCAATCTTGGTTGGAAAAATTTAACTCGTTCCTAGCAGAAGTTTCTTCACGCTACACCAACGTAATAATTTGTGGAGACTTCAATTTTCCCAAAC